CGACGACTACATAGATAGCCTAGGCGACGAAACTGAAGCAATCGAGGTTACCCTAAAGGTCCGAGACATACACGCGGCTGGAGGTTTCAATATAAGGCTTCTAATTCACGCGAAGTTTTGAAACATTTTCAGGGTGATTCCCTCGATCTACAATCGCCAAAGGAACTCGGAGTTCCAGAAAAAGTCCTCGGTATATTTTGGGAACCAGCAACTGACGTGTTTAAATATGTTTTCAGATTTGCACGAATGAAAAGATACGTCCTTTTGGAAGAAGCCTTGCCAACCAAACGCGAGGTACTGCAAGTGTTGATTTCCATATTTGATCCATTAGGATTCTTATCCTGCTACACTATTGGCCTCAAAATGCTTCTTCACGAAATTTGGCGCACAGGCATAGGCTGGGACGACGTCTTACCAGGACCTCAGCTGAGTTTTTGGACGAAATTGAAAGACTTGCTACCCCAAGCTACAACTATTCGAGTACCGCGTCATTAGTCGCCCTTACTTCGTATGGCAAATTTAATTGAACTACATACTTTCGTGGACGCCAGTGAGTACGGATATGTCGCCGTGTGTTACTTTCGAATAGGAAACGGGGATGATATCACTGTCTCACTGATCGCAGCAAAAAGTAAAGTGGCTCCCCTCAAGCCACTTTCCATACCCCGCATGGAGCTACTTGCTGCTGTAATCGGTGCACGTCTATCCTACAAAGTGCGGTGCACTTGCAACATAAGCGTCGATCAACACACTTATTGGACCGTTTCAAGGACAGTACTTTCCTGGCTGACGATGGACCCTCGTAATTTGTACGCTTTCGCAATGCATCGCGTAGGAGAAATTCTGGAGACCACAAACGCTGGTCAGTGGCATTGGGTACCAACAAAGCTTAACGTAGCGGACATGGCGACAAAGTTTATCAGCAAACCAAACTCACAGGAATGGATTAACGGCTCATCATTTCTTCAACAGTCAAAGGACCAGTGGCCAAAACAGTCCACTTTGTGCCCTTCTAACAAAGTCGACCAAGATGAGATTTGAAAAACGGTCTTGATAATCAGAAAGGAAAGCAAAGTAGTGGTACATTATACGTTGAGCGCTTTTCTGATTGGAACCGCTTATACCGGGCAACGGCAACTTTTCTGTTATACTTGGACATTCCTCGAGCTAAATGCAAAACTGAGAAAATCCAAAAAATTCTTACGCTCGAACAACTGACGTCCACCATAAACCTACTCTTCAAGAAAGCACAACAAGACAATTTCAAATCGGAACTCGAGACTCTTCAATCAAACGGATTCATAAGTAAGCCTAGCGTATTGATGGAACAATGCGTACTCAAGGCCGTTCAGACACCATAAATCAAAGCCGAGACCAAATTGTCTTGCCAAAGCGCCACCACATCACTCAACTTATAGTAAAGGAATTTTACGAAACAAACCACCACATGCTTCACGAGGGAACAATTAATCTATTCCGCAGCGTATATTTTATTCCCCAGTTACGTGGTTTACAAGTCCGTACGGAAAGCGTGCCAAAGATGAAAAATAACACGGCTATCCCGGAACCACCAGCTAGAGTCGCTAGCTTCGAGAGGCCCTTTACATACACCGGAGTGGATTTCTTCGGTCCAATTCTCGTTAACGTAGACCGGTACAATGAAAAACGTTGGGTTGTTATTTTTACATGCCTCACTCTGCGCGCAGTTCATACAGAGATAGCCCACAGCCTTGACACTAGCTCTTGCGTAATGTGCCGCAAACTTAATGTCGCGACGTGGGAAGCCCAAGGAAATATTTTCTGACAATAGAACAAATTTCAATGCAACTGAAAAGATTGTCAAAGAGGAGGTAAAAAATGTTGAGTTTGACAAGCTCGTTATAAAGTACGACAAAATTAAATGGCGCTTCAATCCACCTGCCGCACCACACATGGGCGGGGCATGGGAACATTTAATTCGATCGATTAAAATGGTACTCAAATCCGTTTCCCCGAACGCCAATTACAACGACGAAAGTCTCAAAAATGCTCTTATAAGTGCGGAATACGAAATAAACTCCCGCCCACTGACCATCGTTTTCTTGAATGCAGACGACGATGACGCACTTCCTCCCAACCATTTATTGCTAGGGTCCGCAGACGGCTTCAAGTCTCAACTGACAAGCGAGTCAAGCCCAAGACAACGTTGGCGCCAGGCAAACGAACTAGCCGATCTTTTCTGGAGGAGGTGGGTGAAGGAATACATGCCAATAATCACCAAGCGATCTAAATGGTTTCCCAAACGTCATCCTCTGGCAGTTGGCGACGTCGTAATCGTAGTGGACGAAAATCTGCCCAGGAACCTTTGGCCCAAAGGATGAATTACAGAGGTCGTCACAGCAAAAAGATGGCCAAGTTCGATCTGCTACTATTAAGACTCAACACGGTATTATGTTACGGCCAGCAACCAAAACAGCTGTACTGAACGTAGCTTCTCAGTAAATGTAAACACCCCACAGCTGCTTACGTGGGGGAAAGTTACCGCCCCAGTACATTTTGAAACGTCGATTAATTTACATAAATTAATCGCTTGGACCCGACCCCAATCAAGACATCTCGCAAACAATCGAGCGACCATACAGTTACAGTGCGATCCTCAATAGGAGAGGAAGATTTTTTAAAGCTCTCTTTTATCTTGATTTTGTAATTTGATGTAACTAACAAAAACATCGGATTATAAAGCAGTGCTGTTAAAAGCTTTCCACCATTGTTAAATTTAATTTACAAATCAATTTATTAAATATTTCAGATTGTTTTCTTTAATTTAATTGACAAAATATCTTACTGACTTTTATCATTTTTTTTTTTAATATCTATATGTTTTTATTTTCAATAAAAAATGTATATATTCTCACGATATTGTGTAATGAAATTATGCTGACCGATGCAATTTGATGGAAAATTGGAACGCCATAGTTTGGTCTTCGAATGTGAAAGTTTGGGCTTAGAACGGAAGCTTGTGATTACTTTACGATTGGATTGGTTTATTTATCTTAAAAGGACAGCCAAGCGCGGCCCTCGAAGTTAATGGCAAAGGCAAAGGCAGAATCTTAAATAAAGGCAAAGGCTATATCGCTGAGATTGAATTTCAAAAATTGTTTATTAATTCCGTAAGTAGAACAGTTTCACGGGCTGGATAACTCACACGCACCCATATCTTGTTTTCAGTGTTCTTATTACACCCTTGCAGAAGTTTGCAACGCAGGAAAGGAGACGTTTCCGACCCCATAAGGTGTACATATTTTTGATCAGCATGACTAGACGAGTCGATCTAGCCATGTCCGTCTGTCCCTCCGTTTCTACGCAAACTAGTCTCTCAGTTTTAAAGCTATCGTGCTAAATCTTTCCCAAAAGTCTTCTTTCTTTTGCAGGTACTATATAAGTCGGAACCAGCCGGATCGGACCACTAAATCTTATAGCTCCCATAGGAAAATTCGGAAAAAAAATTGTAAAAAATTATTTATTTCGTGTTTTTTAACAAATAAACTCCTACGCTTGGAAGTAACATTTTTTAATTAGTTCTGAATTTCGAATTTAATTTTATCAAAATCGGACGACTATATCATATAGCTGCCATAGGAACGATCGGAAAATTGGTGGGAAAGTAATATGAAAGAAATTATAGCTTCTGTGTTCTAACATATAACCTCCTACGCGTGGAAATATCATTTTATAATTAGTTCTGAATTTCGAACTTACTTTCATAAAAATTGGACGACTATATCATATAGCTGCCATAGGAACGATCGGAAAATTGGTGGGAAATTAATATGAAAGAAATTATAGCTTCGGTGTTTTTAACATATAACCTCCTACGCTTGGAAAAACCATTTTTTAATTAGTTTTGAATTTCTTATTTAACTTTATCAAAATCTGACGACTTTATCATATAGCTGCCATAGGAACGATCGGAAAATTGGTTGAAAAATAATATGAAACAAATTATAGCTTCGGTGTTTTTTAACAAATAACCTCCTACGCTTAGAAATAACATTTTTTTAACTAGTTCTGAATTTTGAATTTAATTTTATCAAAATCGGACGACATATAGCTGCCATAGGAACGATCGAAAATTGGTGGGAAATTAATATGAAACAAATTATAGCCTCGGTGTTGTTGAAATACCCCTATTCCTATACAGAAATACCATTTAGCTATAATCCGTTTTAGGCATTAATGAAAGCGTAGCCTTTGGTCACACTGATCGTTTTTCTTCCCTTTTCTTGTGACATCTTCTTCAGCTAAGTTGTGGTGCTGGTGTTGCGGTAAAATAAAACATAAAACATAGTTTCTTCTGCGTAATTATTGGGAACATAAAACAACAAAATCAACAGGTTATGTGCCCAGTCCGTGCCTAGAAGAACAATTGATTTGTGAAACAGTTTATATAAAAGTCTTATTTCAATTTCTTAGAAATTTCTAGATCTTGTGAAATTGCGAGTTCTTGTGAGTTTACATTGAGTTGAGTTCCTCGTGTGTATACCCTGCAGTACCATTCAGCGCTTATTGAGCACTCAATCACTGCAAAAAGCTCATCACTGAGCGCTCAATGAGCGCACAATTTGTATGGAACTAAGTGCTTAAATTAACATAGGCATGTCCTAGGGTTCATCAGTGCTCATAAAATAGCACGCATTGAGCGCTTTTTTGAGCACCCTTTTGAGCGCTTTTTTGAGCAGCAGAAAAAGCACACGTTTAGCACATGTTGAGCGCTCGATTAAGCAGCGGAAAAAGCACACATTCAGCACATGTTGAGCGCTCATTCAAGCAGCGAAAAAGCGCACATTCAGCACACGTTGAGCGCTCATTCAAGCAGCGAAAAAGCGCACATTCAGCACACGTTGAGCGCTTAGCAGCAAATAAAATTTCAGTTGTAATTTTTATTTTTTTTTCTTTATTTTAAAATTTGAGCTCGGGGGTTTCCGGTGTTATCGGGGTCGCTGGCACCTCCTTCTCAGCATCTGGTGCCGGCGTTGCCTTTTTTTTGGTACAACTCAAGTTTTTAACGCACCGCATTGCCTTCTGCAGCGCCTTTTCGGGAGGCTCCGAGGGATCCACCAGGGCGATTTCATCTAGTATTAGAAAAAAATTAGTTTTAAAAATAAAACAAGACGAGAATAAAATCGAGTGACCGAAAGTAATCGTTATTTGTAAGATTTATTTATAATAAAAGAAATGTTATCTTTGGCATTCAATGTAAAAATCCCAGAAGTCTTTTAAAAATTAAACTTACAAACAATAGTTTTCAGCCTCAACAAAACTTACTTAATAAGGCACGGGCGAAATTTGGGTAGTCTGAGCCTCTTCTTGTTTTGCCCCCCTCCAAGTTGTGGGACAGAACAAGTTCCTCGGATAATATGCGTAAGATGGAACGACTTAGCCTTCCATTTTTTTTATAGATTTACCATCAGCCTTGTCTAAAAATATAAGAAAATTAAAAAAATATCGAGAAGAAATTTGCAAACTTTTTTTTTCGGTCACTTGATTTATTTTATTTTGTTGTATAAAATTATTTATGTATTTTTTTATTATTTATTAAATCATTTATTTATTTTGCAGATGCGGAAAAAATACCACTTTTCCAGGGACGGAAAATTAGAGATGTTTGAGATTTTTATTTAAATAGCCATGTTCGTTTACTTACACAAAAATAAAAATTGTGCTTTAATGTTATTAATACAAAAAATCATAAGTTATAAAAACAAACATCTCTTATTTTTGGTCCCTAGGAACTTAGCACTCAATAAGATTTTCAAATTTATTTATATGCATCGTTTGTTGTTTTTCACGTCAAAAATTAATATTTTTCACAGCTATTTTTTTCCGCCACGTGTTTTTTTGGGAGTCTTCAATTTTTCATTTTTTCAATATACTTTAACTTGTTTTTACTCCCACTGATTAAATAAATATTGGTCTGCGACAGACTTACCTGGGAATCGTATAGGTATCACTTTTAAACCACTGGTTTATTTTAATTAACTACCTTAATTGCGTGCAATTCTAACTCCTTCACATAAGTAAACCCAAGTGAAAAAGACGAAAAAAGTCGCGTGCCTTCCAGAAAAACAACAAGCAACAACAACAACGGTTCCGCTAATCAGTTGTTGTTCTGTTTTTTTGGCATGTCCCGTTTGGTCTATGCATCTTGCACATAAAAGCAGGGTACCGACTATGCAAATCGGTTTATAAAAATATATTCTTAAAACTTCACATATTATTAAATAATATTAATAAACCTATAAATTTGTTTAAGAAATACAAATATTTTAAAACAGAAACCTTTTATTTTAAATGGTTCTTTTATCATTTACGAACAAATGTCGCATTATTCAAAAGGCAAGGGTGCACAAAAGTCTATATATTTTAGTTGCTGGGCCTCCTTCCCATCACACGCACTTTTCCGTCTGAGACATGGCGAGAGAGGGAGAGCCCAAAATTACTTTTTGTGCGTTCTCTTTGCGGACCCGACTGAGAGCGCGTCGCTTTGCCGCCGTTGCGCTCAGCTCTGCCGGCGTCGCTGGCTTCTCTGCCGACGTCGCAGTCGGCTTCGTGATGATTGGGCGCTTAACTCAATTGTGGAACTGCAGGGTAGCTACACTTGTACAACTGTATATGTATGTACGGTAAAATGGGCAGAGCAAAACGTAATATAAAGCCATTCGATGGCGAGAAGTACGCAATTTGGAAATTCAAAATTGGGGCTCTATTGACCGAACTGGACGTACTTAGGGTCATTGATGAAGATATACCTGAGAAAGTGGATGAACAGTGGAAGAAGGCAGAGCGTTGTGCAAAAAGTACGTTAATAGATTACCTTAGCGATTCGTTTTTGAACTTTCCTACAAGCGATATAACTGCGCGCCAAATTCTTGGAAATTTTGAACGATGTATATGAACGAAAAAGTCTGGCATCACAGTTGGCAGTTCGCAATCCCTTGCTTTCTCTTAAGCTGTCGAGTGAAATGTCCCTATTGTCCCACTTTACTATTTTTGATGAATTGATAAGTAAGTTGTTGGCCGCAGGTGCAAAAATAGAAGAGGGATAAAGTGTCTCATTTTTTGATTACATTGCCTTCGGCTTACGATGGTGTCATTACAGCAATTGAGACATTACCTGAGGAAAATTTAACATTAGCATTTGTTAAGAATAGATTGCTAGACCAGGAAATTAGAATTAAAAACAAGGAAGAACGCTATAGTCGAGTAGCTCGACTATCAGATACCCGTTACTCAGCTAAATGGAGATATGCAAGCAGCAAAGCGAGATTAAAATGCGCCACCTACCGGCGGTAGACAGATTTAAGCGTTATGGGCGTTAGAGTGGGCGTGGCTAATTTATTTTTAGATCAATCGATAGGTATTGACGACACCAATACATTTCAGTTAAAATTTTTTATCTAGCATGCAAATTGTGGGCGTCACAGGTTTTCGCGGTTTGTGGGCGTTGAAGTGGGCGTGGCAAACTTTTTTTAGGTCAATCGATAGGTATTGATGAGAACAATACATTTCAGTTAAAATTTTCTATCTAGCATCAAAACTGTAGGAGTTACAGTTTTGGGCGGTTTGTGGGCGTTAGAGTGGGCGTGGCAGTCTACTGAAACAAACTTGCGCTGCGTAAGAAGCTCAGGAATCTGTACGCCAAATCTCAATAGCCTAGCTCTCATAGCTTCCGAGATCTCAGCGTTCATCCGGACAGACGGACAGACGGACAGACGGACAGACGGACATGGCTAGATCGACTCGGCTAGTGATCCTGATCAAGAATATATATTTTATTTATTTATTTATTATTAAAGATAGAGAAGTTTACAAAACTAGACTAACTTAGTTGGTAAAGCACTGGCAACAAGGCCTTCGGCTTTTAAGGTTAATGATATTAAGTCTATTAGTTTGATTACATATTGTTCGTTGTATTTTGGCTACTTAGTTGGTAAATTATTATTTATGTACATTTGGGGTATTTTATTAAATTTTGTGGTATAGGTTTGTAGCTTTTAAGAAAAGTAAGATTTTTTCTAAATTATCTGGGTTGAGTTCATTGAGGAGATTTATTGGGTTTGTGTTTTTGAAGACAGATAGTTTTGTAGGGAGGAGTGAAGGGCATGAATTTAATAGGTGGGGTATGGTATTGTCGCCTTGGCAAAAGGGGCAGGGTGAAGTTTGGTTTTGATTAAAGTAGTGCTCGTGTGTAAGTTTTGTGTGGCCTAGTCTAAGGCGTATTATTTTAATTTGATCGAGTCTGCTCGATTTGGGATGGAAGGATCTGCAATAATTGTCGATGTTTGAATTGTCTTTGTTAATGTTTTTATACCATTGATTGCAGTGTTCTATGTTTAGTTTATTTCTTGCTAGGAATTCGAGTTTTAAGTGCCTGTTTATGTCTGTTAAGTTGATGTTTGGGGTGTAAATAAGGGGCATATTGCTTGTCGATTTTGCGGTTTGGTCGGCTAGCTCGTTGCCTGCTATGCCTACATGACCAGGGATCCACAATATTTTAATTTTTGGGGCTAGTTTTGTAAGAAGTGATCCGATTTTGTTAGAGTAAAAATTGTTGTTGCTTGTGTTTCTTATGGCGTCAATTGCTGAGAGAGAGTCAGAGCAGATCATGAACTTTCCCCTTGTGCTTTTGACTTGATCGATCGCTACTAGGATGGCTATTATTTCTGCGGAGAGTACTGATGAGTATGGGGGTAGGATACCATATTTAATGATATAAGTATCTGTTGTGATTGCATATGCTATAGTGGAGTTCATTTTTGATCCGTCCGTAAATATGAATTTGTGTGTTTTATGGTTGTCTTTGGTATGTTCGTATAGTTTCCTGTATGTCTCCGGTGGTGTGGTATGTTTCTTGTGCGCTCTAAATGTTGTGTCTATGAGATTTGGGAGATCCCAAGGTGGCTGGTATTTGTGTAGTTTTACTGGTTCATAGGGTAGATTTAGTGCTTGACAAAGGTTTATTGTGCGGTCTATGGTTGATGGGTTTTTTTTTGGTTTTCTTTGTTTGACAAGTTTGTGTGTTGGTGTATCTTTCGAAAATATAAGGTTTTTTGTGAGTTTGGCTGTTTGGAGGTCTCGTTTATGCTCTAATGGGAGGATGTTGGCTTCGTATAGCAAGTTATTTATGGGCGTGGTTCGGTAGGCGCCAAGGGCTAGTCGAATTGCTGTGTTAAAGGGTGTTTTTAATTTGTTTAGCACGCTTTTCGGAGCGTGTCCGTATAGAAACAGTCCATATTCCAATTTTGCTATGACTGTTGCTTTCGCGACGTGAAGTAGTGTTTCTGTGTTACAATTGAATTTAGGGTTGGAGAGGCATTTAATGATATTTAATTTTTGGTGTAGTGGTGGAAGAAGTGATTTTATGTGTGTGTCCCATTTGTATTTACTGTTTATGGTTATCCCTAAGATTTTTAGTGCAGTTACTTGTTGTATTGGTGTGTTGCTACAGCTTATGGTGCTGGTGCAATTGTGCTTTTGGCAAATATGGAGGTGTTGGCACTTAGCTAAGGATAGGTATGCCCCTGAGTATGAGCACCAGCTGTTTATGTCTTGTAATAAGTTGTCTAGGTTGAAGTTAAGGTTTTTGTTTTTGTTGAAATTTATTATGAGAAAAAAATCGTCGGCGTATGCGTTAAATTTAATTTCTCTGTGTAAAGTTATTATGTTTGAGAGCTTGTTGTATGCGATAAGAAATAGGATTACCGATATAGGAGATCCTTGTGGGATACCATTGGATAATGGGAGTGAATTTGACATGTGCGGACCGACTCTGACAATTATTTTACGTTTGAGCATGAAGTTCTTGACGTAATTAATTATTTTTGGGCCTGTTTTCCATTCCTGTAGTTGATCAATTATAGTGTGCACCCCTATTCGATCAAAGGCTCTTGCAAAGTCAAGAGTGACGAGGGAGGTGTGCCTCTTTGACTTCGTTATGAGATGGTCTACGTATAGTAGACTATCTGAAGTCGATTTGCCTTTTTTAAAGCCGAATTGGTTTGTATTTAAAAGTTTGTTGTGGGTCACAAACCACCATAGTCTTTTTGCTATGATTTTGTCAAGTGTTTTTGCTAGACAGCAGTTGAGGGAAATGGGTCTGTATGAAGAGATATTTGTTTTGTCAGTTTTTGGCTTAAGAATCGGAATGACTAGGCTTATTTTGTAGGCTTGAGGTATGTGGCTGTCGAAAATTTGGTTGAAAAGGTTTTTTATTCTGTTTTTTGTGGTAAAGGAGCTGTTGCGTATCATTTCTTAAAAAATTCTGTTTAATCCTGGAGTGGATCCTTTAAGTGTTTGTAGTGCTGCAAACAATTCAAGGTAAGTTATTTTTTCTTTATAGATTTGGCTGTTGAGGTGGGTGTATAATTGGCTGTGTTGGTTTTATATTTGTTATTTCGGAATTCGTCTGAAAAGTTTAGGTCGCTTGAGAGCTCTGAGAAGTGTTGGGAGAAGGAGTTGGCTATTTCGAGAGTATCTGTTGTTGTTGTGTTGTTTTTGGGATTAAGAATGGCGTGAATTTGTTTGATTGGGTTAAGGCCGCAGAAGCGTCTTATGTTGCCCCATATTTTGGATGATGGAGTTTTCGGTTGTATGGTGGATTTAAAGGAGCTGGAAGCTTCCCTTTTTCTTCTTTTTATTTCGAACCTGTACTTGGCGTTTAAGCGTCTGTAGTTTATAATGTTTGTAAAATTGATGTTGCGATTAAGTGCTTTCCAAGCTAATTGTTTTTCTTTTTTTAACTGAGCTAGTTTTTTGTTCCACCAGGGGACCTTGTAGGGTTTTGAACTTACTGAGGTTTGTGGGATGGAAATGTTTGCGCTATGTAGTATAATTTTGTTGATTTGTGCGGCTTCTTTATTGACATTTAATGAAGTGGGAAATATTTCGTTATGTTTGTGTGTGAGAGTCTCGTATTGCTCCCAGTTGGCTTTTTTTAATATAAAAAATGGTTTTGAAAATTTGTTTATCT